GAGTCAACCACTATAATCACCACAGAACCCTTTGAAGACAGTGAGAGAAGCACTATGGTGGCTCCCATTCATCCAGAGTTTGGTTCTGGTATGTCTCCTGACATTGAGAAAGCCTCTACAACGTCCCCTGTTGGAGAGCCAAAGGAAACACAATCTACCCCTGAAAATGAGGGACAGAACGATATAATGACTGAAGGAGATGACAGCATAACAAAGTGTAAGACAAACACAAGCAAAAATAAATCAACACACAACTGCCATAAATCAAAGCACAAGTAGAGTTGTGTGTATGATTACAGCTCACTAAAGGAAATAGCAACACCTGAAAATGTAATGCATTCCTGTATTATAACCATGCAATAGAAAGCACCTCTGTGGTGCTAATATTGTGGAGACTATATCAGAGAGACTGAGTGGTGATTCAACTCTGCAGTCATTTTTGGATTGCATTATATCGCAAGATTCCTGTGATTTGATCTAACTTCTGTATATCCAAAATCATAGAAAATGGTGAGGTTTGAATTGATTTATGTTTAAAATGCATGGAAACATTCTTAAAGAGCAGCACATCCTGATATCAGATGCAACAGGTTTTGGGAGGACTGAAGTAACTTTAAGAACATATGACGCCCCCTTGTGTTAAGTTATGCTGTGGAGTGGATTTGTTACAAAACAGGTCTCTGTGATTTTGTCTCCACATTCCTTACAATCGGGATCAATCAGGGTACAAGAACATTTAAATCAGGTCTATAAATCCAACTAGGTTCATTTTAACTGCTTTATACAGAACATGTAAAGGGAAACTTGCTTATTATGTAGCTTGCACAAAGCCTGCAGCTTCACAAAGAGGTGAAAAGGCATATATGATTTAATCTAAAGTGATCATATGATCATCTGTGATACAGACACAAATACATCTGAATATTTCATCTAGTCTTATGTTTTAAATATGCTTGTCTTTGCTAGAGTGGGTAGTTCTATGTCAGTGAATGACCTGTATCCAAGATGACTGAGACATTTGCCTCTTGTTTTATTGACATGCAGCACCACAAAATCCTAATGGCAAGGGACGGGTCCTGGATCCTGTTGTGCCTAAGACTGATAAAAAGGAAAGTTCATCGAGTGAGTAACCATGCTAATTCACTTGTACCTCTAAGACCCTGAAGTCCATAGTGATTGCGGTCAAATAAGAGCATGCTGGGAAAAGGGCGCTCCTATTTGGATGCACTCTTGACTTTTTATTATTTCTTACTAATTCAGCTTTAATACTGTCAACTCATGGCTTGTTATTTCTCCCTCCAGACTGGCTGGTAATCCTCCTTGTGATTGTGGCAGTTTTTGTTATTTTTCTAGTGTGTGCAGCTGTTTCCAGAAGAAACAGGTATGTGTCTTTAGACATGAACATAGCCCCCCCCGTTTCCCTGCCTTACTGTGATCAATAGTCAGTGTTCCAATTTTCACATACAAAAACAAAATCAATAACAAATACATGTGTCTGTGTACTGTGTGCTTTTGCAGCTTGTGCGGCAAACAACAAACCCTGATGATCACACCCAAAGACGGCGAGGGGAACGGGGCGGCGGCATCAGCATCCAGCTCCCACGCCCAGGAGAGAGAGCAGGAGATGGTGACCCTCATGAACAAGGAGAAGATCCAGGAGAACGGCAACACAGAGGAGTTCACCGTCATCACGCTAGAGGAGTCGCCAGATAAAGAACAGCTAGCGTGAGAGAGGAGCATAGAGGCAGATGTGAAAGATGAGGATAGGAGGGATGGAGTGAGGAGATGTTTGGGTGGGTGGGGGTGGGGCTCCAAACACTGGGTAGCCAGCACTGAATGGACACTCAGTAAGGGTGTATGTGTATGTTATTTAGAGATTGTCTTACTGAGATAAATACTGTTGTACTGGCAAACCAACCTGTGCAGCATTTTGTTTGTGTGGTATGCCAGGTTAATTAGGACTGAATGGCGGTCAAAGAGTGTGTCGTGCATGGTGGGGTATCATGTATTGGAGCATAGCAGGGTGCGTGAATGTGTTTTCTGTCAGTTCTTTGTGTTTGTGAGCTGTATGCTTTGTTGATGACAGGGCTGGATTGGCTTTAAAGGGAGGGGGTGGTGAGGGTCTAATTTGTGAAGATGACAAATTATTTTCTTTTTATAGGATTGGTGAATTTTAAATTATACGGTCTTTCAGCCTAAATGGGAAATAATAAATCAATAAAGATAACTTTTTTTTTAAGTTTGAGATACTGCATAGAAAAAATAATAATTTGGAGTGAAACAACCATTCCATTTTTCCATGTGTTTCATTACTTTGTTTTGTTTGCTTATTGTTGTAACCTTGTGTATATTTCAGACATTGCCTGTGGACTGGAGTTTGGTTTTTTCCATTTTCAAGAAAACTAAGGGATGTCATTACCTTAATTTATGCAGCTTTGATTCCCTTTTTCTTGGTCTTTGTATATAAAGTATATGTTTTGGAAATGCCTTAGCAATAGCTGCCAGTGCTTTTTGTTAGCTAGAAAAGGGTGTTGTATCCCTTTTAAATAAAGGAATGTGTCATATTTTTTGAGAGTTATTTAATTAGAAACAGTACCTCTGAGGTAAACAATTGTGAATGGATTTTGCAATAGTCAAAGTGGAGTGGATATTGTATGAATCAAGTTGATGTATAGCATCCAAAACTCTGCAATTGATGCACCATTGAAGTCAGTTAATTTCGTATACATTTATATTGAGTTGTGAATATGATAATATGATGTCCCTGATGTTATCCTGAGGATAAGTAGAACGATAAAGATGATGTATACATTCTATATACACAGTGTGTACATTGATTAAGGAAAAAAAAAGCAAAATTAAAAAAAATTGGATACAGCAGAGTAACCATCTTTTAAATACAAGATTTAAGCTCAATCGAGACACGAGAAGTGAGTGACAGCGGCCTAAGATGCTAGATGCGAAACTACATGGCACATATGATAATGGGGGGCCCGTGTGCTGTAAACATAGCAATGTAAAGGTTTTCCTTATGAAAGAGGCTGTGACAGCATTGTCAGTGTGCTCCCAGGGGGAGGGGTGCGCGCGATGAATGAAGCCTGTGTTCTTGCCTAGGCCTTAATGTGCCGGTTACTCTGTACATTCACACATGTAAACGAAATGCTGCAGTTTTTCTACTAATCTTCTCATTGGTGAAATATATCATACTTTGTGCCATATCAATATTATTCCCTGTGTGACTGCTAATTTCTCCCAATTTTCAGTGTAACGCTGAATTGTATAAACTGATTGTAAACTGATTTTTTTCCCCCCGACTTGTTCAGTTTTTTTTTTCCTGCTTTTGCTTTTATAGAATTCATTTTGAGGAGAGTTGGCAAATGTACTAGTGTAGGCAGGTTTTATGACAAATTAACATAATATGTCACTGAAAACATTTGTAAAGTCATGAATGAAAATAAATGTGTATAGATAGAGATTCACAGGAATGTGGTGTTCACTAACTGATTACTCTGTATGTGTGAAGACAAAGGGAGAGAGAGAATGGCAAGACCGGGAATGCGAGTGGTTACATTGCCCCCACATATGAGGAAGTGAGGTTTCCATGGCACCAGGGTTGTGATGTGAGAATATGTTAACACAGGAAATGAAGACTGTGATTAAGAGAGCCATTTTTAAAAGATAGAGATGACATCTTTCCATACAGTGTTAAACTGCATGTAGTAGTCTGTCTGTCTTCACTGACACACATTTAAAAGAGCACAATTACCACTTATTTAACATGCAGTTATTTACTCATTGTTCACCATTCTAAAGCTGCACAGACATAGTGCTGGCATCACAAATAACTTGTAGTAAGTGTAGCAAATTCTAAATTTTGAGAACACGTTCTTGGTGCTATTTAGTTATTATTTTGTAATGTTTTTCTCTAAGTTTGCATAAGCTCTTTTCAAAAATACAATCCTTTTTTTCCAATATTTTCATAAAATGGTCACTTAGCTCTATCATTTTTTAACAGACAAAACTGTACTGTTTGTAGCTAAAATTATTTTCACTATGTAACATTTAGGAGGTTCTATTGGAAAGAGAAAGAGAATATAATATTAATTTATGATCCCCTAAATATAATCGTTACGTTTTGGTTGACTTAGATATGCCTACAGACGCTGCAGGTTGCCTTCCGTGTAGTCCACCACGTTAAACCTACAGTAGCTCAGAATAGACTAACTGAACACTGGCTGTAGATAGGGGTTTTTGCGTTTATTATGTGTTTCACAGCCACCATAGTTTTATCTACACACTTTACAGCCCATTTTCATTCCCACGTTATCAAATATAGATGTGAGCAGTCTTCAGTTGGTTGCAATCTGCAACCTCACCACTAGATGCCACTAAATCCTACACACTGGTCCTTTAAGCATTTAGGTCTAAATACATGGGCAAAAACTTTATTTTTGCACTCTGATGTTGGTATTAGATATCCAATTTCAGTTTTTCATCCTGGTAATGGTATAGTGTGATATTAACTCTTGCTTACATTCACCTAGATCATCACCTCTAAGACTTTAAATTATATTTTTATATTTCACGTTCCTCCGCGAAAATTTGATATTGATATTGTGTGGGGTTCATACACAATATATATACAAGCCTGGATTCAGCAAAGCTTTCTTTTTCTTTAGGTGTCATCCCTAGGGATAAATAAGCATAAATGACAAGGCGGACTGGTGGGGCTTAAGAATAGCAAATAAACAGTTCATTTTCCGTTTCAACCTATTTAGCCCTTAACTTAGTGAAATGATTGTAGATGAAATTTTGTGTTCCATTATGCACCTTTGCTTTAATGTTCTTAGAATAATGCATCATTAAAATGATATTGTCTACTCTGTCCGGGAGTCATAATCAGACCAACTGAACAACAGAAACAGAGATGAAAATGTATTTCTTTGTGTGTGTAAAATAAAACAAATCGTGTAGTCAAAAAATCAAAAGAGCAGTCAATATTTAGTTATGAATCAACATTTATTAGTTATATTTGTATATGTACACCAAAGGTACAACACTTACTGATATGTAGAAACAGATTTTTTTATGTATACCATAGACCGAGGAAAGATTTCATGTTTCATTTTTTTTTTTTGTCTTTTTTTTCTCCCCCACACATACGCTCTGCCTTTACATCAAAATTACAACAGCTTTACAAAGAGGGAAGGCCTAGAAAAGTAAGATCAGGAAAGCACGTCGTAGGCAGGAGTGACAGGTTATCAGCTCTGTTTAGGAGTTTCTTCAAAAAGACACATTTCAGTAGAAAAGGACAAGCTTAAAGATATACTGTCTCTTGGTTGAAATACTGTGTCAATCGATTTCCATTCTATCAGTACCATTTAGCTCAGCAAGTTCCAGGTGTTTGTGCGTGCATAAAGTTTCTGTGTAGAAAGCAAAAAAGGCAAGTGGAGTAAATGTAGTTTACAGAGTGTGAATTCTATAATCCTCCATGATGTTGGTGGCACATCAGAGGTCAGATATGTGAAGATGTGGCATGTAGACAGGGTAACAAAGAATCTAAAAGATCTAGATAACCATGTCTTGCAGCTTTAATAAACACACGCACCAGGTAAACAAAGATGCCTGAGACTAAAGCACGTTTTCGCCATTGAAAAGACAAAATGGTTCAGATGAGTCACCTGAGGAAGGTTGCTCTACTGTTAACAGGCAGCTGAGTATATTTTCTTCCACTCAAATCAACTCCTAGGCTGTGTTTGATTTCTCACTCTATCCTACATACAGGGCAAAATTGAGCTTTACCTTTATTTGTCTCTCTTTTCTGCAACTTTTATCACAGTAATTCCAACCAAAATAACTCATGTTGGCCCCCTTTGTCAAACCAGAAACTTCCCCTCGCTCTTTCTCTCTCTTTCTCACTCTCTTTCTTTCTCTTATAAATGCAAACCTGTTTGCTTCAGGACCACTGTAATTTCCAGAAAATTCTGCATTGCCACTGAACAGAACAATTATATATTTATTTATGTACAATGAAAATGAATGCACACTTCTTATATCTTCATGGAACAAACATTCAGAATGCTTACATTAGATTAAAAAAAAAAGATATTTATATATTGGTGTGTGACAGGTAAGTAAAACAACTAGTTAACAGCTATTAGAGAATAAAAAAACAGGCAATTTATTACACGATTTCCTCTCTATACATTTTGTCTAATCTAATTTTACTCAGGACATATGATATTTTTTTTTCCTAGAGGATTACATTGAAAATGTCACAGCAATGAAACTATATTCCTACATACCATTCCCACCCCCCACCCCCCAAAAAAAAAAGAAAGCAAAAGGAAAAAAAAAAAAAAAAAAGAAATCTGTTACCTACAATATATACACAAAGTGCAATGAGGCACTTCAACATATCATGCTTTTAAGATAGTGGTGCAAAAAAATATTATCATTTTATTTTATTCATGCTTCTAAAACCGTGAGTTTGAACATAATAGTGGTTCAACACTCAATCCCCATCATTGACACTATGGTCTGCATTTTCTCCTTACTGGAGAGGTTGATTTTTTTTTTCTTTCCTGAAGATCACAAGGTCAAAAGATCAGACTCAAGGGGCCTCTCAGGGTGTCAGTGCTGTGCTCTGCAGCTCTCTGATCACAGTTAGAAATGTAGTGACCGTCGAGGTCTAAGAGTGTTTGTGTGTGTGCTAAAAATGTGTGCATTTTAAAAATCGTGTGTGCATGCTTGTTTTTTGTGTGTATCAGTCTGTGCAGTGTTTACAGGAGAACACCAAATGTGCTTTATGTTGTGTCACAGCACACTTCTGTTAGCCGAGCTTAAAAAAATCAAAGACGTCTTCTGAGAGTGTGTTTCAGGAACTAAAGGACAGAGTGTCGTACTAAGTGTTTTGTTAATTTCCCTAGTGTTACTTATATTGGCATTTGTTTGAAGTGAACATCTCCAAGGCAAGGTTGTCTTTAATGAAATGAAAAGAAACAAGACAGGAGAGAAGGACACATTACTGATAAAGAAATCCCACCCACAACGCAGAAGTCTCACCTCTCACTCGCACAGGCTAAAAAAAGATTAACAGCCAGTAGCCCAGCTTTGTTTGTATTTGCAGATCTTTTTAAGCCATTTGGTTCTATGAGAGGATTTTTTTTTTACCTGATAGATAGCAACATTTTAGCATAATGCATGTGAAGTGTCCATTGTTCTGTTCTAAGTTTCCTAAAACGTCTTTGCACCAATGTGGACACACAGCTGCAGCATCTAGGGTTTGTAGAAACAGTCTTGAGCTCTGGTGGCTAAAATATATTGTTGTTTACCTTTTAAGGTCTGGCTAAACAAGAAGCTGGCAAGCAAGAGTGTTATATCAATGATCTGTCACTGTTTGTGCAAGCCAAGAATCCATCTGACAGCTGAGTGCTGTGCTACTTCTTCCTCCGTTTCTTTTTAAAAATGTTTCTAGTGCTTCACTTTGTGTACTCTGTGTTCAGTAATAATGTAAGTGTACAAATAGTACGCAGGTTGAGGATCATTCAACCACTGGAATGTTGTCTTAAATGTATTTGTGTGCTTCCTATATGTGCTTCCCAGCATGTCATCATATTATAAAATCACTATCTTTCATCAAAGACCTTTGCAGTGAACTGTCACTGTTTGGAGTCAAAGCTTTCAAAAGTTGTGCTGTTATGAGGCCTTTTTCTTGAAGCTCTAGTGAGCAGGTAAACATTTGAGGATTACAAAATTTTTTTCCCTGTAAAATAGTAAACATACAAGCCTGAGTATCTGTTCCTGTTCCATTATTGTGTTTTTAAAATCATTTTTTAAACTTGGAATACGATCAGTGTCAACATGGAAGGATAATGTGCATGACTTTGATTATGCCTCTGACTGAAAATTATCCTCACTGGCATTTTGGCTTTATTTGTGCTCTATCACTCTGTTTGTGCTTTATATTTTTTTTTGTGTGCTTCAATTTATCCAGATATGGCAATTAATAATTATTGTTTGTTTTTATGATAATAATTTTGATGCAAATTTTTATTTTAATTTCACTGGCATTACAGGTACTTTTTTTGGGGGGGAAGGAAAGTTTCATATACAGGGCAGTGACATTATTTCATTTAAGTTTTGAGGCTTCATCAGAAAAGGTGGTGATATCAACTGCTGTGCCTTTCAGTTAAAAATGGACAGAAGGAAAGAAAACTGAAAACTGTCTTGAGAGTGACATTATGGAGGCAGTTCAAAGGCCTCTGTGAGTTGATTGATTTTCTGCCTGTTTGGTCCCTATAATTGACTTGGTCATGTTCTTAACCCAGCTCTCTCTCTCTCTCTATCACACACAGACACACACAAACAAGTTTTATATCTCACTCAGTAGGTGACACAAAGAAAAAAGTCCCTTTTTTTTTACAGTAGACAAAGGAAAAAAAAAACACAAAGGGGAAAAAATGGGCTCCATGGCATGATTTGTGCTTTATAATCCCACGGCGACTGTGCTGGTAGGTTTTCCTGTTCACTATTGTTCTCCCTGCCTCCTACCCTTTCATCAGTTTGCTGGACCTCAGGGATAGTGGGTAATATTGGGCAATGCAATCAGCAGTCAGGTGCACTTTAAACGCTCTGACAGTTTAAGAATAAGAAGTGATGTTCTTACAGTAGATAAGAGCAAAGGAAGAGCGGTGGCCTAATGCACACATTGTGATGGTACTGACAGGGATGTAAAGCAAGGAAGTTCAGTACAAACATTACATTGGTTTTCACGATTAATGCTCTAACTCCCACTCCTCTTCTGGCATTAGAATAATGAATCACCTGTATTTATATAACTAGGAAACCTGGAAGATGTTCTCAGTGCATCCCATTATACAGCCACTTCTTCTCTCATCTTGTAAATGTAGAACAAAGATGTATTGCTAGGAATAGCTTATCTAACTTTTTTCTCTTCCTTCCCTCCCCAAGCCTTGAAGTATGTTGTGCAAGTATCTGCTATACAGGACATAATTGTGCTCTAACAGGTAAAGGTATACCTCTGTTATCATTTCACGGTTAAGTGAATTAGTATTATATATCAGTCAGATAGACAGTTACAAAAACCTTTAAAGGGACTAATAAAAAAAGAAAAGAAAACTAAACTACATAAAAAACAATTAGTAGTTCTGTTCGTGTGACTTTTTTTCATTCACTCTTTCACCAGATAGGAAAGCTTGTGGAGCCCAGGAGCAGGGGATCTCTGTGCTGCCATTATTCATGTTTCCATGGTTCCTCCTCAACAAGCGTGCACTCCGCAGCAGAGCCGTTAGTGGCTGAGGTTACCTGTAAGCAGTTAGCAGGGAAATCTAAACAGCGGATCCAAGGCACAGACAAAAATCACAGTTTATTTCTCATAAAGCTTTCAAGAGAGCTTCTAATAATTCTGCATTATCGATTCAGTGCTCCCACTTATGAGATACTATTACTTAAAGTTTCAGCGAAGCAATCTGACTGGTCAATCATGCTTCCAAAGCTTATAAAGCATGGTTGACCATCATGTATTGCTTGCTATGCCATCAAAACAACAACAATCACCTATCTACATACCTGCTATTTCCTGCTTATATGTCATATGTTGAAGTAAACCTTTCAGATAATACACATGACTGTAAACATTGTATAACTGTAAAGCCAGAATACCACTTAGGACATTCTTTTCTGTAATTTTGAGTATTGTAGCAATGGTACTTTGGCAATTAAAACACAGCCTCTTAGGTATCATAGCTATTTTGCAACATGCAAAAACTATGGAGGAATACTTTAACTCCTGTACGACCATGATGATCATGCTTATGGTAGTCCTAAGAGTGGAGTTTCTTTTACTGACCTGGGAACAGACCATAAATGTATGATGACCAATAACTCAACAGGCATTAAAAAATAAAAAATACAAATACAAATGAACAAATTATAAATAAAACAGACAGGTTATATAGAAAACAAGGTACAAACTCTAAAGAATGAATTCATTGTTATGTTATGGCTACTTTGCAAGCAATCTACAGTGGTTTGAATCTTTGAAAAAGGGGTAAGAAATGTGAGCGGTATTATTTACAGACAAAACAGACCAGAAAACAGGAACAAAAATTAGTCATAGTGGATACTGGAAATAGCAAGTCTTTGTGTCACATTTATACGTAAATGTCCAATAATAAAGACTCAGGAACGGGGGATATAACTTTTTACTATGGACAGATTACTTGTGTGACAGGTTGCCAGCGTTGCTAGGCAACGCCTTTCATCCTTTATGAATAGGCTCATCAGTAGACCTTTTCCACCAGGGTGTGTGTATGTGTGTCAGGGAACAAGCACTCTGAACTCCTATATATTATTCTAAAAGCCTGGAATAATTAGAACAACGGAATTCAAAGTGCATTATGTTTTACATTATGGAGACTACTTCCCAGCTTTTGATTTCACACACAGTTCACACAGTGTGCAGAAATAGCTGGTGTCAAAATGCAAAAACACTGACTGTGAATGATTCAGTGACGGCGTGGCAGATGTCTGTATGTAGGGAATATATGAACTGTTAATTAGCTCCAACACTTTTCTCCTCTCCATTTTAAATCCGACAGGAAAGAATGACCCTTTGGAAATAAACCTGTTTTAACAATTAAAATTAGCTACATTTTAAGATAAAGCAGAATTACCCACACCGGACATTAGGCTTAACAAAAGGAAAATGAGAACTAAATGATTACAGACAAGGGAAAACATTATTCTATCAAGGTGTTTTTTGGGGAAAATGGATGTAGTGTGAACTTTTGATAGATAGGAGGGCTGCTAAATAATTCCTCAGGGTCATAATGAGGCTTATCTGGCTCTGCCTTTTGATTTAGTGCCAATCCCCAACAGGTTACAGTCATCAGCTTAGGCTGATTAAAAAGCAAGGGCTGATTTATCCATCATTAGTATGCACTGAACTTCAATCAAATTTTAGTTTGTTTGATTTTGGAAACTTTTGACAAGAACACTTTACATTTTGGACATTAATTCAACACAAAAGCTGCTATTCCAGAAGAATGAAATACATACGTACACATGCATCTGTTGTTCTCTTGCTTCACGTATGTCATAAAATAACAGTGGGTGCATTTACACTGTTATGTACAAAGATGCAATGAATAAAACAAACAGAGTCAGGCAAAGGTGCAGGTGAGCATGCAAGAACGGAGAGGGTTATATACAAGTCTCTATGTCCGTAAGCATTAATTGTACCTTGCATTCATCTACTACGACAGAATTGTTAGCAGTGGCGGTAGCGGTTGTGGTAGCGGTAGAGGTTAAGACGCACTGGTTGGAATTGTTTTCGTGATGGTTCTTCATGTCATCGTAATAAGATTGGGTCTTCGTCATCATTTCAATGTCATCTGATTTAGCTGCATGCGCGTCCAGCTCCTCAAGCTCTGCCTTGGACATGTGGTACACGATGCCTGCACCGTAGGAGTCACCCACCACATTCACTGAGGTCCTGAATCGATCCCTGAGGAGAGAGAAACCAGGAAAAAAAAGATGGTTTTGCATACTTGTTAATATATGAGGAAAATACTAGGTGGGAATTTCCAGATGCACAACAAACATAGAAGCAAAGGGAAGAATCAGTGTGCAATCACAGTATGCATTTTTGTCTTGTCAAACTCACAGCAGCCAGTCGACAGCAACCAAAAGACTGATGTCTTGGGTTGGCAGGCCTACAGCAGTCAGGATCAAGAGCATAGTCACCAGGCCGGCACTGGGAATACTGGCTGCTCCAACACTGGCGAGGGTAGCTGTCAAACTTAATGAAGACACGGCAAAACAACACTCAATCACATTCTCCAAACCCACTATACCTGAACACATCCTCCACAACCAACTCTCCAACCTGCACAACTCCCAGACACTAATCAATGTGAAATGGCTCCATTAGACAGCCACAGATGAAGACATTCAATCTCTATGGTACTCGTATAAAGAGCAGCAGCTGAAGAGCACCAGAGTGGGTCCTCCATCGCACATGAGAAGAGGCTTAAATGTGAGAGATGGGATGTTTAATTTGATGGTTTGTGGACTGATATGTCATAAAAATGTCATGCTGAAGGTCTTCCATCCTTGACTCACTCTATTAACAGAAGAGCATTTGGAAAAGGTGGTTACATATACTGGGTTAGTGTTTTTTGGGCTTCCTGCTTAGCATGAGACAAGGCACTAGCACAAGTTGTTGCTTTCTCCTCGTGGTTTAATTGAGCCAGAGAGGTTTTTCTGTTCACTGTTAAATGCTGCTACATTGCTGCTCTGTTTATCCTCATTTATTAAGAGCTAACCGTGTTTACTGAACTGCATCTCTGGGATCCATTTAAAGCCTCTTTAAATAGGGAAGAGAGCATTTAAGAGTCCTTTTAAGAAGCATCTCTTCATATAGGAATTGCTGAAATATAATGAAAGGTTTCATAATTTCAATTAGTGACATTTCCAACATTGCAAATCCAAGTCTTTTACATGTCGTGAGACAATAGCACACTTGACGATTTCAAATGAGATCACACTGTAAACATAGGCTTTTAACAGTGCAAATGGCATCAATTAAAAACTAAAATATGCTATGTTTGAAGTACAAAGATAAACTATCACAAGTTTCTCCTGACCTGACGGTGACAATCTGACCAGGGTCGAGGTGGATGCCGTTCATTTGGGCAATGAAGATGGCTGCAACAGCCTCATACAGAGCAGTTCCGTCCATGTTGATGGTGGCACCAACCGGAAGCACAAAACGAGTGACTCTTTTGTCAATACCCAAGTTCTCCTCCAGACAACGGAAGGTGACAGGCAGTGTACCAGCACTGCAGGGAAAAGCAGAAGACGGAAGGTTATACTTTGTATCAGTTGCATAAATATCTAAATATAATATAAACAGCTATCCATTCATTTTGATGCTTACCTGGAGGCTGTCCCCAGGGCAGTGATCCAGGCCTGGAAGATGCCCAGGAAGAAGGTGAAGGGGTTTTTCCTGACGATAACAAAGTAGATGCTGGGCAGGAAGATTGCTCCGTGGATGATGAGGCCAATAATCACAGTCACCATATACATTCCCAGCTGCCTGGCCACCACCTCCAGGTCCTTGATGGAGATGATCTTACCACAGATGAGACAGGCAATACCGAAGGGAGAGTACCTGGCGAAAAAAAGCTTTTGTTATTACTTTAAATTTAGCTATGAATAAAGAAGACAAAGAATTTGTCAGGACACTTCGACAAATTCTGCTTCACATAGCGACAGTCTTTCAAAATGTTGGAATGACATTAACAGTTATTTCTGACAATTAAATGAGTTTCAAAATGAGTCAATGAGATTCTTAAGTGATACTAACCACATGATCATGATGACAAGTTTCATCACAATCTCATTGAGGATGTTGAAGAATTCAATCATGAGTCTGGCCCTCTCTCCCATCTTGCCCATGCAGATGCCAAATGCAATAAAGAAACCAATCAGACCTGTGACAGAAAATCATGAATGTATCAACCTTTGAATACCAGTGTGGACAGGTGAAATGACTACCACATGAGGGAATTATTATTAAGAGTTTTACAAGACGTGAAATTCTGTAAATGCAATACTGTAAAAAATATTGCTTCTATTCTTATCCATGCAGCATGACCCTAGGGATGACAAAGACAGTTGTTCGGTCCATCACTTTGGTCCAGACTGAAATATCTCAACAACTATTAGATGAATTGGCATGGAATTTGATAGAGATATCCATCATGCCCAGAAAATGAATCCTAATAACTTAGGCGATCCCTTGACCTTTCTTCTTACATCAGCAGCAGGTCAAAGTTTTCACTTTTCCTGAGAAAAATACCTTCCATGTAATGGAACAATACAGACTGTCTGACTTTGATGATTCCTTGACTTTTCCTGTAGTGCCACCACAGGGTTCACACTTTTGAGAGAAATAACCCTTAGGATGAATTGCAACTTTGGTGGTCCCTTAAGTTTCATCAAACACAATCATCATGTCAAACAATCAGTTTGTTGTAGGCCTATAAATTGGTTTATGACCAAATACCTGTGAAACTAATGACATCTTTGTGAGCATGTTAGCATGTCCATATACTGTGTTTTCGGTTGGTTACATACCCAGTACATTCATGCCACTTTTGAACTGCAGGGACTTTTTGATGAGGAACTGAGGCTCCTTCGTAATGTTAGCCACCAGACCCTCCATGGTGGTGGCATTGACATCCTCCTCAATAGCCACCTCTACCTTCTTTGTGACTGTTTGGATCTGAGTTAAGGAGGAAAAGATATGAGTGATGAGTTTGATGAGCAATACTGGGCTCATGTATGATGTTCCCTATGACACAAGGCCACTCGACTGTCAGTAATCGTGTTTGCAAATCTGCTTCTTTGGTGTGATTTTTTTATCCACTGTGCATTTGGATTCCTCTGTTAATAAACCCAATCATTCCAGGGCTAACAGTGACTTCCAGATATCACAGAGTAGTGCAGCGATAATCAAACTTCAGCATTAAGCTGTTTATCATCTTGTTATTGTCTTCCTCCATTACCTGTTCGAAACAAGCCTGCACCAGGTTCTCTGGGAATAAGTTCCTGATCAGATCAAAGAAGGCATCCAAGCTGGACACGTCATCATTTTTCTCGCCTTGGCCCAGATTCTCCTTCAGTTTGGGGTTGCCGGGGTGGATCACTAACACCAGGATGACTCCCAGGATAGCAGCAATAATAGTGGTGGTCATGTAGTAGACCATAGCTCTGGTGCCCAGGCGACCACTGGATTTGGCATCCAAACCAGCCAGACCTGCAGCCAAAACAAGCAAGATCATGTTTACCTGGTAATTACTTGGATTTATTGAATGGAAGTGTTGACTTAATACTGAGGGGCATGAAGGCTGGAAGCAAAGACCATTAGGGGATTACATAATAGTGTATGCATGATGGCATGATGTATTACATGAAATAATTATGATTTCAAAATCAAGATTACAATAATAACAAGGCTTTTTCCTTGCCCTGTGTTTATTTTTAGCAGTTTCACAGCAGTGAAAGTTGTAGATAAAAGAATTTAGAGTTTATTTGCCCTCAAATTGAACTGCACATGAGCTGCTCAATGATAGTATCAAGTGTGAAAAGTTCAAATGTGGTAGTAAAATGTCTTAAATATGCAATATTCTTGTAATAATGCAATGTATTTGCTACAAGTGATCGGTCACACTTCACCTGTGATTAAACTGGAGATGATGAGTGGTAGGATCAACATCTTCAGCATCCTCATCAGGATGTCTCCAGGAAAAGCAATCACCATGACAATATCTGGGTGGATCGGGGAGGCAACGCGAAGCAACATCCCTGATACAGCTCCCAAGATCACACCTGAAGTGCAAGGAGGAGTGTGAGTGAGTGAAACTGCAAGAGTGTATAATGAGGAATCACAGAGAGAAAGTCAGGAAAAAGAAAATCAGATAATAGATTTGAATGGAAAAAATATTCAAATGAAAGCCTGTGTCAATGGGAAAAACATAGATATAATCTATGAATAACAAATGAGCAATGATTGCCTCCTTAAAGAAGCCATAATAACTGACCCCTGTCATATTAACTCAGTTGTGTTGGCGCTGTACAACAAGATGTCTGCTTAAAGAGGATAGTGGGTTCAGAAGATGAAACAGAAACTTGCAAAGAGAGTAAAGATCATGGAGGATTAAGATCAGAACTCTTTGAAGCATTAAGGAGGAGGCAGCATGTCAGACTCCCTGGTGAAGCATCTGTAATCTCTATAAAGCCAAAATGTTTTTGAGGAGTTTTTCACTTTGTAGCAGGGCAAGTAAAAGAGTCTAATACATGGATTCGATAAACGGAGGTAGGTAGTTGGTAGTTGTCCCTAATCTGAGGTTCACCTTGTGCCTCACTGGGATACTATCCGATGGGTTTTTATTGCTACCTTACCTATCCTCTGGCCTCTAGTCACTCTCTTGAATCATGAAAACAATGACATTTGAAAGAATAGCCCCTCCCTAACAAAGTCACTGTTGACCCCTTGACATATGTCTCTTCCAACTAACAGTTCTTTTCCTGCCACACAGGGTCTCTCCCCAAAATTAAAGATGACCTCTGTTTGCTCTCACCCCCCTGAAGCTCTGCCTACCAGGCACAATAGTTGGCCTCCGTGTCTGTCCGTCTCACGCCAGACAAGACTCCCGCATCCCCCCCTGTTGCTGCACTTCCTCTGCTACCACACCACTGCCAAATATCACACAGCCTGAGCCGTTGTTTAATAACACACACTGGAATCAAAAGCCTTCCAGCTTTTCTTTTTTTATTATTATTGTAAGCTGTTCTCTGTGCTTCAATCTATCCTCCAGTCTAGCAGCATCCTGTAGATTCTGCACACCCAATGGTTTTGGATGGCACTTGATTTCCTGTGCCTTCTCTTGGCCCATTTGCAAGTTCCAGTTCAGGCTCTTATCTGCCAAGTGACAGATGATCAATGATCATGCTGGCTCACTTGCTTTGCTTTGAGTCCTGCCAAGTGGGGTGAGATGTACACATTACACATGCTCACACAAACATCCATGCAAGCAAGATACAGATAGACAGGCACACACATGGCTAAATTTAATATACACGTGCATTTATAAAATTTTAACAGGTTCACAACCTTGGCTTATGAAATTATAAAGATTGGGCCACATAGCTCCCCTAAATGATGATATGATATGTGCTTATTAAACAGAAATCTGATTTAAGACCTATAACTAGAAACCACATCATTACTTTCCTTTCTTCTTTTTATTAAATCTCCCCCTGTGGCGCAGTGAGCCACCGCTGTAATTACAATATTTTTCATGCCCCACCAGAGGCTATTTGGGTGTCCACTGCTGCAGAGAGCTTTTGATAGCAACAGGTGGCACAGAGCTTGGGAAGGTCAGGACACCCAGTCATCTTACAGTCTGGTACACTGCGCAGGCACAGATGGCATCTCCTCCTCATATTACAAGCAAACTGCAAAATCGAGCTCCGGGTTAACAAAACACTGAGCTCAGTGGTGCTTGGAGCCCGTCTTTCGCATGCCCTGCTTTTTAATAGGTATTTAAGGGAGAAAGAAACAAAAAAATACACAGGTGATGAGCTGAACTTACCAAGGACGGTGAGTGTGAGCAGAAGGTTCTTGAACAGCTTGGAGCAGAGTGTGGCACATTTGGACTGAGGCCTGGCCTCAATGGGCTCCAGGTGACTCTCGTGCATCCTCACCTCAACTTGTTTAGGCATACTGTTGGCACTGTGAGAGAGAGAAAAAAAACTGATGAAATGATTTACCAATAAAAGGCAAAAACAAGCTGAAGCCCTTCCTAATCAAAACTTTACCATACAGAAACATTAATCACTATATATCATGTATATATCATGTGGTCTTGTTCATTTATGAGAACAACTTTGCAATAAAAGTCAGCATCAAAAACCAGAAATCAGATCCTTTGGATGTGTATAATGTCACTGAAACCCACCATATAGTAAAAAGAAACCAGTCCAATGAAAAATGTTAAGCATTCAAGTGTGTTGCCAAGCTGTCACTCCAACACTGTTCATGGTTACTATAGCATCCAACAGATGGAAGCTGACTACAAGCTGCTGCTTGTAAAACTGCAGTCCTTTGGGGCAATACTTCAGACACGAAGCGCCTCAGTCAGACAGTTCATAAAGACTGATTATGTGCATCTCTTAAGTATAGCATTTTGTTAAAGATTTTTTGTAAAGAAGTTGCTCTGTATTTTGATATAATAACATTTGGGGTTTTACAAGACGTAAGAATTTACAGGCATGTCTACATTATGTGATTTTTTCGACAGACTTCTTTATGCTGATAATAACTTTATCAGCATAAAGAAATGGTGTATATTGTTAGGTAGATTGTATTTTGAATGCAAGTTTCAAACCCTGATATATTACAGGCGTACTTTATCATGCCAACCTAATACAGTAATTGAATTAATTAGGGTATAAGGTTGTTCACATCCTCTGTGAAATGAAAAAGTGAAACAGATGCTAACTTGATAATAAAAAAGTCTGATGAATAACAAAGAGGAGGAGCAAACACATTGACTTATACTTATACACCCACTTACACCCTATATTCTCTGTCTCAGTAATTATTGTGTGATAGTAAATTTAGAAGCACACAAAACCTCATATACAATTGTAGGAAGAGGGGGTTCAGTCCCACAGCGTAATTAATTGAATGAAGCGTGATTTCCCATTACAGGCAGCACAGAACAGTTTCCTGCAGTTCCGTCGAGGTATGAATGAGTTTGTTAGTGAGAAGAGAGCCAGCTGTGTCTGTCACATGCCAGTCAGGCAGGTGTTCAATAGCTCTGTCGGAGAAAGTGATTGAGAATGAGAAAGGAAAAGAGGCGCAGTAGCTTTTTGTTCATCGTCTGCTCAACAAGTTGCAGGAATAATCTATCAAATTGTCTTTGCTCGGTTTGACATTTTTTTTTGTCTATTAGGAAATAGAAACGTCTCTGTGTTGCTATTCAACACCAATAAGCCCATGAAAATGTCTGCTGTGATGAATTACAAAGAAAAGCAAAGATGAAATAATGTGACTCTGACCTTTCACCTCACCCTGGGGTTCATGGCCTAAAACTCACAAATGGATGCCTCAATAGTGAATTTTTTTCTCTCTCTCTTTTTGTCCTTATACCCTCCCCCCATAGTCCATGATGAAGTCAGAACACTTCATAGATATTAATCATGTTGGCTGTCAAGTTTTCTTTCAAAGCTGAAACTTGATCAAAGGCAAGACAGGGAGCTCAAATCAATAGGAAACTTCCTCCCAACCAAAAGCTCTTAATGGTGTTATTGTTGTTGTGTAAGTAGTCCCTAATAATTCCACATGAACACACACACACAAAGACTCACACATTTACACACACCTCCCCCAGCTTTGTGTATTGCTGTGTTGTGAGCTTGGCTATAGGAAGACCAAATGGCCAGCTTCCAGGCACACAGATGGACCAGTCCTATCTCATCTTATTAATTTCAAAGTGAAGTGTGAAATATAGGAAATACATACAAAAAGCAGACAAACGGTAGCCACCATTACACTCTGGGTTATTTCATCCATAGGAAAAAAGCTGAATGGATTAGAATAATTAGCATTACCATGTTATCCCATTCCATAAGAGTGATGAGGGCTGCTAATTGAATTTTTCCCCTTTTCTCTCACTTGCATTATTTTTAGCAGTGAAAGAGTAAGTGAAGCAGACGTTGGCCGTCACAGAGGTCGGATATTATGTTGTCATGATCCTCTCATTAATGCTTCTCTCACCATGTCAGAGACATATGAGAGAGTGGGCTTCTGCGACCCAGTGATAGATGAAAATGAAAATGTATAGCAAAGAGTAATCAACTGCAGCAGAGGACTATCATTTCCGACAGGAGGAAATAATAATGTGTTTTTTGTGTTATAGAATAATTTTGCTGGATGGGAAATGATTTCCTTGTCGTACATAATTGTACAGCTTTCCTTAATAAGGCATGAGCTTAGAATTAATTCTCTCTGCCTTATAGAATAATTCGGATATTAAGCTTCAACGGATCTGAGCTTTTCTTTTGGAAATTGTAAATACAAAAAAATGTCACTAAGATGTACAGAAGAGAACAGAACCTCATAATTCAACAGTCATGACATTCAAATACAAACACACACACACACACACACACACATAAACACACACACGCGCGCACACACACACACACACACAGATCTTCTGCGCAGTCTCTAATGGGATCATCTGATGAAGCATTTAATCTTGGCCAAGGGCTTAGTAGATTAATTGCATTACAGGGCCGTAAAGCCATGAAGAATTAATGAAGGTCTTAATAAACCAACACCTGGTGACAACCCAAGTGAAAGATATTCAGATTCTCCCAAACTATAATTCCCTATTCACGTATGCACAAGAGAAGTTAGAGAGGATCCCTCAAGTCTTCATATCTTCACAAATAACAACTTAAGAGGTCAATTGCAAGAGTGTTACTGAATCATTCAATGACTAAAGTGAATGAACAGTAAAAAGAGTAAAAGCCTAATGTGCCCAGAACTGTAAATAATAATAATACTTACTTCATTTCTGTTGGAGTTGAGGTAAGTGCTATATACATTGACCAGGGTCAAATCTCCAACCTTTGGTATTTAAGAGTGAATCAGAACAAGAAATTGTTAAGATGATCCCGACTGCTCCATCAAAAAATGTTGCCAGATGTCAGCAGATAAGGTCCCAAGTACAGCCAAAATTCTGCTGACAGCTAGCAGCTCTCAGCTGTCCACCAGCTCTTCCAAGGCATCCAGAGAGGAGCGAGTCAACACAGCCCAGACACAGACCCAGTCACAGCCACAGCAACCTGAATTGCCCCATCTTGATGTCTGCAAAAAACCCCTCAGCCCCCACCCCCTGACTCCACCACCACCCACAACCAGCTACACACAGAGAGCACACACACACACATACACACACACATGCATCCAACAAACCTAGAAATAAATAAATAAATAACTAAAAAGAAGAAGTGGGGGAGGAGTCAATATCTGAGCTTAAGAGTCAAATCCCCCAGGGGCCCTCATTCCCTGGACACTGTAATCCCCCCAGAGAGCACACTCGCAGACTCATCCAGCTACGTGGGATAGCGAGGCAAAAGCCAGGCTTCTGGAGATGAGCATGATGATGCCTGCTAATGGCACAATGCAGACAGCAGTGCTTTGTAAGTAGCCCTTTTGCTGAGAGGGGAATAAACGACAAAGGAATGACGAATGGAAGATTTAATATCCATAATGTTGCCGTTTGGGGGGTTTTAAGATCATCCTGATGGACAACAGATGAGAGTTAATGTTTACTGTTCTCTGTAGTTATGCTACAGCATATTATGTCATTCTTGTACCATAGTGGTCCAGGAGCATAATACTATGAGGTAGACTGTAAATGGTTATGTCACATGAGACCACTCTTACAAATCATGATAGTCAAAGATATAAGAAATGCGTATAAAGTCATCAATAAAAAAAAAACATATACTCATTTAAAAAGGGAAGACAAAATATATTTTCTATCTTCCAAGATACTAGCAAAATAAGGTCTACACATTCAAATCAAACACATTCCATCAATAGATTTACGTATCCCCACTATTCAATAAAACTCCAAAGCAATGAACTCCAAAGCACAAATGACCAACGTGATTCATGTGAGGATGGTGTCACGCTGATTTCCCTCTAGTCTCCCAGCAGCATGGGACTTCACATTGTATTGAGCAGTATCACATTATTCTAATTAGGGAAATGTGTTGGAAAGCTATTTCCTCTTCAAACAAATGACCAACTACGCAACAAAAGCCAGAGGAATCCCATCTCTTGCAGCAGAGGTTGTGTCATGAGAAATCACTCATCCTAAATCCCTTGACATGTCATACTCAGTCAAAAGACCCCCTCAGGGAAGAGAGAGTATTTTCGGGATGGGAGCGAGAGACTAGGACAGAGCAGAAGGGGTTACAAGGGGGAGAAAGAGGGACACTAGGGGAGAAGGGGGTATTGGGGTCACACCAGCACCTCTCAGCCAAAAGAGGGGCCTATGAGGGGAAGGCTGAAGCAGCCATCCCTGCTCTTGGCTGGTACCATGTGAAGCTCTCTGCTTCCTCTCTCTTCCTTCTGAGGGGCTTTGTTTCACACGCAAACAGTGGCAGTGGCCCCAACTGCCCGGCCAAGCGCTGCATCCAAACTGGCAGTGGTGAGAAAAGTAGGGAGGGGGTTCGAATGGGAGGGGGTATAAGGGTATAGCGGGAGGGGAGGGGGCAGTGGGCATGTCCAGAGTGCCAGTTCTTTCAGGCCACTGATGTCATGCCTCTGCCCACCGTGGGAGAGCAGCGGAGGGACCAAGGCGCCCCTTTCTCTTTCCCCCTCCACAGTCTCTTTTTCCAGGATGAATGAATCTTTCAGAAGCTGCGGCCCATTGTGTCCCATAATCGACGGCGATTATCCCGATTTTATGCTGCCTTCCCAGTGCGAGGAGGTTCCCTGAGTGCTGGCATTGAGGACTGCTGCGATGCAGCAAGGACCACGAGGAGTTGTCCTAGCAACACTCTGCGGCTTAGAGAGAAGGGGATGAAGGGGAAAGAGGAAGCTCACAGCCATACACACACACACACACACACACACACACACACCCATACCCAGCATACAAACACATAGCCTGCACACACACCATATAAAGATGGGGCACGGCTTGAAAGATTAGCAAACAGATATACAAATATTATATCTTTACCTCACCACAGATTTCATTTTATAGATAAAGAAGTAATTAAGCATTCACACTATTTTAAAAGTGTCACAGGACATTTCTTTGGCAACCATGCAGCATAATTAATGAGCTACTGTCACACGCATACAATGCCACTCTACCATCCACAACATGTGCTTACATAACAATTGACAATTTTACATTAGTGACCGGTTGCATGCTTATACTTGTCTAATTCAGGTTGTTGGGACACATACAACAGAGGAAGATGTAAATGAGAATACAAGTTTCCCACTGGTCTCTGGAGGGGCCCTGTGCCCGTTCTCATGACTGGAGCATCACAATATACTGTGAGGTAAAGACAACTGGAGCTGGGCCAGGCTCCGGATATATCTGGCCCCTCTGGGCCTCACAGCCACTTGCCATGCAGTGGGAAGAAATGGGCTCACACATACTGGCTGCCTAGGAGCTGTGAAAAAGCCCCCCCAAATGAAGCTCTCAGCAAACACTCCAGGTTGTGCTGTGCATAGGAAGTGGGAGATAAATTCCAGCATCTGAAGAATGGGAAGCTTTGTCACTCTACGCGTCTCAATTATGTATCCCTAGATGGTTGTCGGGATGAATGCATTTAGTGAGAGATAGTGATAGATAGATGTGTGGAGTGTCATGCAAATCTGGATTATTCCATCAGCAGTGTAACCTCTAAGAGTGCTGCCTGCTAAGATACAATATCTCCTATGAGTGGAGGGACCATAGGAGAAAACTTTCCCATCGGGTGAAAGTTGGCTCATAGATTCAACGCCAAATACCAAACCACAATCAACACCGGGCTTTCCTATTATTCCCAGTACATGGGACAACAACTGCCCAAATGAAATGTATCTACCAAGTGTTTCATATATGCCTGTGATCTGCAAAAGAATCCTTTAAATGTGTGTGCCCACTGTGTGCATATATTCATGTATATCAGCCTCTTCCCAATCTACTCATCCAAAGCACGCAACACACTTGGTCCAATCTTCGTTTTCCTATATCAACTTTTATGGGTAATAGAGTGACTCCAAACAAAGGTATGTGGTGTGCAGAGTCACTCAGTGGTCCACTTGAAAGCTGTCTTGAACCACTTCCAAGTGAACACTGGAGTGAGAATACAGTCTTATCAAAGACTTAACCAAAGAAGTTCCACACTAAATGAAGCAGATTTTTGCTGATATTCACTGAAGTTAATTCAATGCTGTCAGTCACTGTTTTTGGAATGAATTAAATAATCTATCCTTTTTTTAATTATTATTATATTATTTATTATTTTGCTTTAATTATTATAAACTAAACAATGAAATGTAAGGTATTGAAAACTTAAATGGACTAAAAAAAGGTAAAAATGTTTATTGAGTGAACTTACTTTCTTACAAATGTTTACATCTATATATAATGCAGTTGTAAATACTTTATTTTATGTATTAGCTACTATTGATTGACTGCTTAATACCACATTTTTGGGTGATTATTACAGTAAGGTCTGCTTTAACTGTGAGCAGTCTGGTCTTGAAGGGTTAACCCTTCCATACAGATATGGGGTAGCAGGGCAGGCATTCAGTACCATGGTCAGTGACACAGCCCTAGTTCCTCAGCTCACAGTGACCGGAGCTGCAGTGCTTAAAGAGTTTCTTTTACCACAACTGATCCTACGTGATCTTAAGGATAGAAACATACCATAAACATGTAACTATTGTCAGATGATTAGCATGTGTCATTGTCGTACAAACTGTCGACAGACAGGAATTCACACACAAATAGAGTGACCTCTGGCAGGTGTTTTTCTGTAATAATCTTACAGAAGAAAACCATTCTCCTTCTTGGTTATCATGTGCAGCAATGTGGTTTATACATTGTATATGACTGCTGTGACACTGTAACTCCTGTGTATATGCTTTTCGTAACATTTCCATTTTTACCATTCTATTTTACAGTCTGGGTGCATCAGCATTGTAGCAACGCATGATTGAGCCATACTGTACGTGCCTGTCCCTCAGCATCCTCTAAGGTTTCCCTTTGTTTGGCACAAGTCTTTGTGTCCATAATGAGGCAGTCATTAGAGAGCCTCTGGGAATCCGGAGGCTTGTGTTGTAGTCTGCATAGGTCTCTCAGATGTGACCAATTCCACTGTAATTATGTGCTAACAGTCTATTATGCTGGGGAGTGGTTGTCATAGGAATGAATTGGGTGATTCCTATTCATCTGGATAATATCTGCAGAGAGACTTAGTTTGACGCTATCCTATCCAACCACAACCCACTTAACAGCCGATTCTACAGCTGTCACTCAAATATAATTAATTACTCATACCAACATGACTTTACCTCTCCACATTTAAGTCTCCTCTTTTCTCTTTTTTTGTTGCACTCAAAGTGACCAACTCCCAAACTCTCTGGCATTCATATTGCATATCTCAGCCTTAAAACCTCTCACTCTTTCCTCCATCATGTTCTAAAAATCGTAACTTTGATGCTATGATTGCAGCAGTCTCCTTCAAAGCTACAACCACAAGGATTTTGTTACTGCCCATCCAGTATCCCCTATCCCCAGCCCCAATATTTTGCCTAAAGCTGCACAGATGAAAGGTCAGTGGTAAAAAGAAGTTCATCCATAGTCATGTTTTCTTGCTGTACCTCCCCACAACCTCTTCTATCAGATGAGGTGTCACACAAATCTCATCTCTTTCTTCCTATAGCTGCTCATGTGTTCATACCGGCTGCATATGAAGCAATGCTACTATCATTAGCAAAGACACATCTGTTTAACAGAGCTGGCTATATAGCAGCATGCAGCTTTTGATGGCTTTGGTCCGATCCCCACAGGAGCTCATTAAATCTGCCAGTAAGGCAGGACCACCCCACCCCCTACTAAACCGCCGCTATGGTATACCCGCTACATTGCGGGGGGGGGATGACAGAGGCAGAGAGAGAGGCGTATAGTAGACAGAGGGAAGGGTGGGAGGGGTGAAATGGCAAGAATGCCATATAAAGATAGATGTGTAACAATGTATGGGGGAAGGGTAAAGGAAAAAGGGGGAAGGGTGGAAAAGGAAAGGTGTGGCTGATGAAGGTAAGGA